TGGGATGGGAGTGTCAGAGACAGTGCGATTGGCACAGGACAGAGCGGAGTTTAGGGCTGTTGTACATAGGGTCGCTATGAGTCGCAGGCGACTCTACGGCACATAACAACAACAACAACAGTTACCTCCAGCAACCTAAACAGATAACTAGAACTTTGATTTAAAGGCATTAAAATTGTAATTGTATCCTTATAACTGATAAGAGGGGACTAAAGAGATAACAATACAATTACAATTTGAGATATTCTTGTACCATTAAAGGACATTACTGGAAAAATAATTTGCATCTATGAGGTCAGTAGATTTTAAGTATTATTCAGTGTGAATTTTCTGATTTTAATTATTATACTTTGATTATAGAAGCCTTTTTCTTTTTTTCAAGGAATTACACACTAAAATATGTAGAAGGATGGGGCATCATGCCTGTAATTTAAGCAGTTCAGAAAATAATGTGCATATGGAGAGAAAGGAAGAAGAAAAAGCAGTCAATTCTGGGTTTGAATTCTAGTTCCATCATTATTATGTAACTTAAAAAACATAACATTTCCAATTCTTGATGTGATTATTTATAACATGAATATTCTTGGTATGACCTTGTTGCAAGGAAGAAAGGAGCCTATTAGAATGTCCAGGAAATGGCTGTTTCCCCTTTAACACAGTAATAAAGACAGAACTAAAATGCTGTCTTTTAAATGCCTCTACTAGAAAGTATGAACAGAAAATAAAATATTTAAAAGTATAGTTTCTTTCTTTGCTTGTAGCTTTTCATTTTTATGTAATTACAAACTCACAGAGAAATTACAGAATAATACAAAGAATTCTCTTAAACATTTTTCTGCTTTTCTCCATTTTTATAAAATCATTGTCTACCCAACATCTTTTTTTGAATCACAGGAGAGACTCATTTATACTTCAGTGTGTATTTCCTAGCAACCAAAATGCTATCTTATGTAATAACAGTAATATTTATAAAAATTAGGAAGTTTAACACTGATGTAATACTATTTTCTCATCATATTAAAGTTCAAGTTCATATTCAATTTTTATTATCCCAGTAATGTCTTTTATAGACTTAACTCTCTCAAACAGTCATTTCAAGGTCGTAGGTTACATTTATGTCGTGTTTATTTTCTTTTAATCTGAAGCTATTTTCCTCACACCTTTTCCTTTTCTCCCTTGACCTTTTTATTTGTCAGGCCATTTATTTTATGTAATGTCTCTCCATTTATATTTGTCTGATATGTTCTCATGATTAGATAGTGTTAGGCATTTTGGGCCAAAATAATAACAAATATTATTATTCTCTTCTTAGTGCATCATGTAAAGATGTACATGATAATAGCTTGTCCACATACTAGTGATACTAACATTGATAGCTGGTTATGATGGCATTCACTAGTTTCTCCATTGTAAAGTTACCACCTTTCATTCTCCACTTAAGAAATAATTAGTGTAGAGAAAGACTGGGACTATAATAACATTTTCTTGCTCATCAAATGTTTTAGCATCTATTAACAATTTTCATTCCATTATTTCTTCTATATTTATTAAAATATTTTCTCAAGATATTAACTTATACATGTATATCAGTTTGAATTTAATAATTCTTATTCAGTAAGATATCATCCATTACTATTATTGTTGATATAATGTTTACATTCTTCTTTTTTTTTATTTTCTGATTCTAAGGCTCACCTTATACCTCCTTGCCCTAGAATCAGAATTATTATTGTCTCAATTTCAGAAAATAATAGTATACTCTGATACTTTATCTTAACTATTTTAGATCAGTACATAATTTTTGGAACTGAAGATGGTATTTATACATTGAATCTCAATGAGCTACATGAGGCAACAATGGAACAGGTAATTAGGTGTTTAATTCTAAAAATTGGACAAATAAAGTCATTCATTTTATATAAGTAGTAGTTTTTAATTTTTATATTTTAATTTACTGAAGGATGACATTTATTCTTTATATGTTTATCTTGAAAGGTATTTTTTAAGTAATTTGATAAAAGCTAGAAAGTATTTTTGTACTATTTCAGAATGTTAGAATTTTGAGGTTAAGTATTAAGAGAAAGAAAATTGAGTTTTCATTGTCTTCTCTCTCTTTTTTAAAAAAGTTATTTCCACGCAAGTGTACTTGGCTGTATGTCATCAATAATACTTTAATGTCATTATCAGGTATGTATACTGTGATTTTGTTAAAAAACAAGTGAAAAAAATGGAGTTTTCATGTACACTATTTTGAAATTTTATCTGTAATTCTGGTTAACTATTTTGGAATAGGACTGGCATCCACTTCCTAAGCAACATTCCTCTGAAAACTCTTTCGGATTTTGATAAATGTCGATAGTTGTAGAGGGGCTTCAGGTCTTTTGTTCATAGGGTCGCTATGAGTTATGCTCGACTCAGCGGCAATCAGCAACAACATAGCATAATTACTGCAGGACTTCCAGATGTTTTCTCTCAATTTGAAGAGGGAAAAACTTTGAGAACAAACCCTCTATTTCGTTTAGGCAGAACTTCCCAAACCCACCAAGTACCTCAACACCTGAGGGACAGCAAAATGGTGTTTATGTCACCTTTTCACTCAGCCTCTTCCACCATTTCTACCACCACACCTGCCTCCATTGAGAATTCTCAATTAAAGGGCAAGAATCATGTGATTAGACTGTTTTCTTTCTGTGTTGTCTTGTTAAAGTCATAATACCCTCTTTAAGCTGTAGTGTTTCTAAGAAAGGGGTGATAAGACCCTGACTAAATACTTTTTTAGAGATTAAATGAGATGTTATCCATGAGTGCTTAGTAAACTGTGACATTTTAAACAGGTATTTGCTCGTGGAAGTCATACTGTTCTGGACTCCATATTAATGATCTTGGATTGATGCCTTCTAAATAGAAACAGAAAGCCTTCTAAACTAATGAATGCCAAAGCAACCTATCCTAGTTTTAGACTTTTGTGTGTTTTCTTTTTGTGATGTTGGTGGTTGTTTAGGAGATGTTTTTAGGCTTTTTTTCCCCCCCAACCTTACAAAAAACATATTCTTAGGCTTTAGATTTAGGTGGCTTAGAGATAGAGGTTTTCTCTTTTCCTCTTGTTATGATTTTAGAGTGTAATTGTTAATTCTTTGTTACTTAATAAATTCTAATGCTACTAGCTATTAAAATAGTACTTGAATTTTTATTGTATTCTTTGTATTTGTAAATTTTTTGTTTGATTCTCTCTTGTGCTCTACATCTTATATATGTGGGGATTGTATTTATAAAGGAGTCTTAGTGGCTTAGTCAATATGGAGTTGGCACTGCTGACTCAAAGGCAGCACCTCTCAGGTGGTTTGCTTCTACCAGCTGCAAAAGGACAGACTGACAGTCATCCTCTTGTGCAATTTACAGCCTCTGAATACCCACTGGAGGGTCAGTCAGACTCTGTGCATCGAGTTTGAGTTTCTTATTTATGACATTGTCTTTCTTTCTAATATTGTATGTACTTTTTCATTCATTTATGTACCAAAGCACAATGCTGTCATAGTTTTACTTACCCTCATTACATATTATAATCTGATTTAAGTCTAGTCATTTAGTTATTTTAAACTTATATACATATCAGTAGCTTGAACTCTATCACTAACCATTTTTCAGGAATTTGTGTTTGAACAGATAGTATTACTTATAAAAAAAACTTTAAGATTGTATGTCAATTTGACGAGGCCATAATTCTCAGTGGTTTTCCAAGTATATAGTGATGGAACATGGCAGTTACATAATCATATAGTCATCCTCCATTTAGTGAGCTGCTATGGTCATTCTTCATTTTCACATAATGCCAATTTTCACTTAATGACTTAGTCTTTGGAAATTAACTATTTTAATAAGTGAAGAGTCGGTGTATGTGAAAACTACCAAAGCTATACTTAAAGCTTATTATATTAATTTGCTTTTTTTTTTTAGTATTTCAGTCAGCGATAGGTGAGACTTTTATTTATAATCTGTTGTCATCTAAGGTAATTTATACAACCATTGATAAATGACTCAGCTCTATTCCTGAGAACTAATATTTTTCAAGGTATACGTATATATATTATGATATACATATATATCATAACTTAGTCTATGACATGAAATTTTATACAATAATATTTAACATTTTCTCTTTGCTAGCACTATTAAGATTTGTGTGTGTTCTGCTCAGATTATATATTAAAGTTGGAAAATACCTAATCTGTGGTTTCGATACAAAGTTATCTACTCTTTAAAGATAATGTTATCTATTCTTTTTGAAAGTAGTATTAACTAAGGTTTGTTTTTTTTTTGTTTTTTATTTTGCTTGGCTTTGTGAACATTTGTGGACTCCTCATATTAGAAGGTAATTATGTTCTCTTTTATTTGAGAATTGTATTTCTTTGCTGTAAATGTTTCTAATAAAAGTAACATGTTTCTTTTTTTCTAGGAAAAACATTTCAACTCTACTCTCATAACCTGATAGCATTGTTTGAACAAGCCAAAAAACCAGGATTAGCTGCCCATATTCAGACTCACAGGTTTCCAGACCGCATACTACCAAGGTACAAAATAACTTTTTTTTAAGGGTATGAGGAGAATTAATGTCTTCTTTTGAAATAGCCATTATTCTTTGACCAGTAAAAATTACTTGTCTTATCTTAATTTTCAAGATAAATTACAGTATATAATACATGTTATCTAGAATGCAAAAGTATGGTGATTACTAAATATAATTGTCAATGGGAATCACTTGTACAGCTTTTAAAATACAGGTTGTAGGCCTTACAGCAGATCTATAAAATCAGACACTTTGGGTGCAGCATCTAAGACTCATTTTTTAAAGCTCTTTGGATGATACTCATTCATCTGATTCACAGATTACTGTTTGGAAATCATGATAGTAAAATACATTTATATTGTTTCATGTTTTCAGAAAATTTGCTTTAACAACAAAGATTCCAGATACAAAAGGCTGCCACAAATGTTGCATAGGTGAGTATATCTTATTACCGTATTAGATAGTAGAATGTATTGAGTGATTTTTTAAAAAAAAATTATCTGAATCATCTTACAGACTTAGAGAAGTTGTTGTTTACTGTTGAGTCAGAACTGACTCACAGCTGACCCTCCAGTGGATCTTCAGGTACAGTTAATCTCACAGGAAGAGATTTTTCCATCTGTATCCCGCAGAGCAGCTGGTGCATTTGAACTGTATACCTCTGGGATTGCAGTGCAGTTTCTTACCACTAGGCCACCAGTTGTTGTTGTTAGGTGCCGTCAAGTCGTAGACAACTCATGGCAACCCTATGAACGAAAGGCATGAACACTGTTCGTACTAAGAATTTCCAGAGGCAAGCCATTCAGAAGTGGATGCCGCTCCTGCTTCCAGGGTTGTTGTTTTTTTGTTTGTTTGTTTGTTTGTTTTTAATTTTTGTGTGCGTGTACCGTCAAATCAGATCTGACTGGTACAGGAGGAGATTGTCCCTCCTTCCCCGGCAGAGCATCTGGTGGATTCGAACTGTTCGCCTCTGGGATTGTACTTGCAGCTCCTTGCCACTAGGCCACCAGAGCTCCCCATCCAGGCTTGTTTTAGTCAGAAAGCTCCAGCAAACACTGTCCACCATGGGTAACCATTACCATGTTTGGCAAATCAGTGTCCCAGTGTTCAGCATCACAGCAACCACGAGTTAACCTCTGTACAGCAATGCACAGACCACTGCTATACCACCTAGAAGAATGTTTGACAGAAAAAAAATTTGAACCCGGCCTGAGGGCCGCAGATTAAAATCACCCACCTTTGGCTTGGTAGCATAACTTTCTGTCCACTAGGCCAACGTAGCTCTATGTCGTCGTTGTTATTGTTGTTAGGTGCTGTTCAGTCGTAGACGACTCATAGAGACTCTGTGAATGAAAGGCCTTAGCACTGTTCGTACATAGAGTTTCCGGAGGCAAGCCATTTCAGAAGTGGATGCCGCTCCTGCTTCCAGGCTTGTAAGGGTAGATTTTTTTAATTATTATTATTATTACTATTATTTGTTCTTAGGAAGTAGTTAATTATTTTGTGACCTATGAGACATTTATTCCCCACAGCATTTTTAATCTCTTAGGTTTCTTGGTTTGCTGCCACCTGGTACCTGTATAACTGCATGAATCTGAAGGAACAAGCTTCGTTCTCCAATCTTGCCACCAAAGTATACTTGGGAATTATGCCTTTCCCATTGTTGTATCAAAATCTGTATTACCTTAAAAAAAAAACCCACACCAATTTTTTTTCCGATTTCAGCATACCTTTCTATTACTGAAAACACTCAATGTGAACAAAATATTTTAAAAAATAAATAATTCTGTCACAAGAAAGCACATAACATATGGGAGGGACATGGAATAAAAATTCTTAGAAAAACAATAGCTTTAATGTATTCGCCAGGTATAGCCTTCTTAAAGCTTTTTAACCATAGTCACAGAGATTTTTATCTTTGCTAATGCTCTGGCTTTCATTTATTCAGTCCTTCTTATTGTTACTAATACATACTGTTAAATTGATGTCAACTCATAATTGCTCAGTGTGGCACAGAATTGCCCTGTTGGTCTTCTAAGTTGTCATCTCTGTGGAAGCAGATTGTCCAGTTTTCCGCTTTAGAACCATTCGTGGGTTTAGACTTCCACTCTTTCAGTTAGCTGCTGAGCATTTAACCATTGTGTCATCAAGATTATTAAATCCTTGCATGTGCCAATTACTTCTTTAGTACTCGTTAACATTAACTTATTAATCCTCAAAACAACCCCTTGATAATTGTTACTTGATAGATAGTTACTATGGCAAGTAACGGAGAGCTCTGGTGGCCTAGTGGTAAGGAATTGCTCCGCCAACCCAAAGGCACAAGGTTTGGATCTACTAGCTAAAGAAAGATGGATCTCTTCCTCCCATGCTATTTACTGCTTCTGAAAACCCACTCGAGTATCAGCTGTGAGTCAGTTCTGACTTGACAGTCTATAGCAACAGTAATGACAAATGATAGGTATTGGAGTAGACCAAGTTCAGTCATTTTAGATCCTGTGCTCCTAACTTCCTACTTACCCTTTCTGCTTAATATTTAATGAACTTACTCATTGATATTCTTGATCTATGATGGTCCCATATTCTCTAGAACGGACACATTCAACTGTGGTACCTCCTACAAAAAGTTGTATGAGCATGTGTCCAGGAAGAAATTGGTCCATATTTATTAACAGATTTCTAAGATCTGGGACTCATTAATAAGTTTAGAAATGTATAGCCTAAGATATAATCTCATAACTGAGAAAGTACTTGTTGTAAATTACTACTCTTAGATCCAATATGTATCCTTTTCAGCTAGTTGGAATAATGAATAAAGAGGAATTATGATGGAAAAAGTCTTGAAGATTTATAGAAATAAGATGTATATATGTTAAAGTACACAACTTAAAATGGAAAGGATAACAAAGTCACTCAATCTTACTATTAATAGTGACCAGAACGATAATTTTTTCCCTATAATAGCTAAATAATTACTTCCTTACTTTGGTATTGGTTTCACACCACATTTCTTCTCTTCCCTCTTAACCCCCCTGTCAGCAACAAATTTACAAAGAAAACTGGATTAGCTTGTAGGTGCTATAGCTCAGTTGGATACTTTTAACAAATTACTGCTTTCATACAAAGATAGTTAATATTTTGGAGTCTATATTTGTTTCTTTTCAGTCAGAAACCCCTACACAGGACATAAATACCTCTGTGGAGCTTTACAATCTGGAATTGTTTTACTTCAGTGGTATGAGCCCATGCAGAAATTCATGTTGATAAAGGTATATATTACTCAGACTTACATTTTTCTTTATTAGAAAATACTAGTTTATAATAAAAGCCAAAATGTTAAGATTGAATTCTAGTAGAATATGTAAATTCCCAGACATCCCTCTGTCTTTGATCCAAGAGCAAAAACTAACCAGGCTTCTAGAGTTAGGAATATTGCACCATGTAGTAACACCACATCTCCTCACTCTTCCCAAGAACAGTCAGGTTGGGCTATGTCTGGAGCCACAATGTCTTCTAGAAATTCTGTCTTCTCCTATTCTGTAAGAATTCAACCTCAAGTCCAGAAACTGTCCTCTGAATCTTGGTACCATTGTAATGCAGTGAGTCTCAGTGATCTCCAGCTATGTCTGTGCCAATTGAGGGTACTCAAGCATGCAAAAAGTCCCCCTTCTAGTGACTGCAGAGATTTGTGAGAGAGAAAGTGACTGTATAAAAGAGAAGTATATATAGAGTCAGCACATTTATATTTATTTATTAAAGTTAGTTTAAATTAAAAATAGATCATTTCTTTGCTGATTGAATTCAGAATGATACAAATAATAGGGATGTTTTATCTAAATTAATTTTGTCGCTTATTTTTTTCAGCACTTTGATTTTCCTTTGCCAAGTCCTTTGAATGTTTTTGAAATGCTGGTAATACCAGAACAGGAATATCCCATGATCTGTGTAGCTATTAGCAAGGGCACTGAATTAAATCAGGTAGTTCAGTTTGAAACAATCAACTTAAATTCTGCATCTTCATGGTTTACAGAAATTGGTGCAGGTAAGTTTAATTTTTAACATTATGTTGGAATACTAATGGTTTTGCATGCAAAAGAAAATCATAACACTTTCAGCCCACTTAGGCTCTTAAAGAGTTAGGACTTTATTTCTGAAGTAAAACAAGAGAAAGATAGCATTTTAGTCTCTATTTCCCAGAGACAGTTTTATACTAATTATTTCACCAAGGGAAATTGTAATGATTCCGACATATAAAGATTGTAGTAGTTATAATTTCATCTTTGGACTTGCTAAATAATTTTATTTTTCACATTTTACCAGCTTCGAAGCAATGAGATTTCTTTCTTTTTTTTTTTCCTTAGCACTGTTTTCTCTTTTTCACTCTTTGAATCACTGAGTATGCTTTTCAGACTTGAATGTTGTTATTAACTTCTGTTCAGTGAGCCGCTACTTACACAGATGCTTTGATCCTATGAGCAGCAGAAGAAAACCCAGTCTGATTCTGAGCCATTCTTACGATATTTGCTGTGTTTAATACTAAACTCATTGTTGCAGTAACTGTGTCAATCCATCTCACTGAGGGTCTTCCTCTCTTTAGCTGACCCTCCTCCATTTTTCTAAACAAGATGTCCTTTTCTAAAGACTGGCCTCTCCTGATAGCATGCCCAGAGTGTACAAGACAAACTCTCACCAGCCTTGCCTCTAAAGAGCACTCTAGCTCTCGCTCTCTTTCTTCCAGGATAGATTTTTTTTTTCTGCACCATCACCACAATTTCAAAGAATCAGTTGTTTTGTGGTCTTTCTTATTTGTTACCTAATTTCACATGCGAAACTTATACTTGGACCAGGAGGCAGTCATCAGAACAGAGCAAGGGAACACTGCATGGTTCAAAATTGGGAAGGGCGTACGCCAGGGATGCATCCTATCTCCATACCTTTTCAACCTATATGCAGAACAGATTATCCAGGAGGCTGGGCTCTATGAGGAGAAATGTGGGGTCAGGATTGGTGGATGATTTATCAACAATCTGCGTTATGTGGATGACACAACCCTGCTTGCTGAAACTGAAGAAGACCTGAAGCACCTGCTGCAGAGTGTCAAGGACTGCAGCCTACAATATGGATTGAGGCTCTATGTCAAGAAGACAAAGATTCTCACCACTGGACCAATTGGCAGCATCAGGAATGGATGGTGAAGAGATTGAGATTGTACACAGCTTTAGTTTGCTTGGCTCCATAGTCAACAGTCTTGGCACCAGCAGCCAGGAAATTAAAAGGTGCCTTGCCATGGGAAAGTCAGCTGTTAGGGACCTCTCCAAAGTACTGAAGAGCAGTGGTGTCTCTCTGGAGACTAAGGTGCGTCTGATACAGGCCATGGTCTTCGCAGTCACCTGTTATGCATCAGAGAGTTGGACAATGACCAAGGAGGATAGAAGGAGAATTGATGCCTTTGAGCTGTGGTGCTGGAGAAGAGTATTGAGAATACCTTGGACTGCTAGGAAAACAAACAGATTTGTCCTGGAGAGGGTTAAACCGGGTGGCTCCTTGGAGGCAAGGATTCTGAGGCTCCGTCTAACATACTTTGGACATGTAGTGAGGAGAGACCGGTCCTTAGAGAGGGACATCATGCTTGGGAGGGTGGAGGGACAGTGCAAGAGAGGCAGGCCCTCTTTGAGGTGGATTGATTCAGTGACTGGGATAATTGGGATGGGAGTGTCAGAGACAGTGCGATTGGCACAGGACAGAGCAGAGTTTAGGGCTGTTGTACATAGGGTCGCTATGAGTCGCAGGCGACTTGACGGCACATAACAACAACAACAGCAATTTCACATGCATATGAAACAATTGAAAATACCCTGGCTGAGGTCAGGAGCACCTTAGTCTTTAAGATGACAGCCTTATTATTTTATTTTATTTGGCAAAACAGGTTGGGGATACAAGGAAGTGAGGGTTGGGAGCAGAAGGGTGAGGATGGGCAGGGATGCAGTTGCAGGGCTGCACAATTTGGTTGGTGGGGGGAGCAGGTGAAGGAAATGGAAAGGATCCAGGGGGGACCAGATGATACAGGACAATGGTAAGCATAGTCCAAATGGTGATTAAACTGTCTTATTCACTTGTGGGTTTCTCATTTGGGAATTGGGCCCAGACTCTCTTGGCTTCTTCAAGCTGAACAGGGGTGTTGATGTAGGGGGAAAGGGAGCACACTTTTATCACCTTACTGCTGGTCTTGGGTTAAAGCTGCTTGCCTTCTTGAACTGTTAGAAGATATTTTCCTGACATTTACTCCCCTCTGGACTGCAAAGTATTTTCCCAGGTGAGTCCAGTGGGGATAGCTTACTGAACCCTGAGACTCCATCCTCCTTTGCTTCCTTAGCTGGCAGTTGTATTTCCTCTTTGTCTCTGGAGCTGTGTTCAGGGTCAGGTCTGGAGTAAAACTCAGTGTAAAGGTTACCTATAGGAAAGGGAGCAAACCTAGAGAGAACAAACTTGTGAGTTACAAATAGAAGGGCTTTGGGGGTGTTACTTACAGGTGTACTGGGGGAGAGGGTGGATGAAAGTAGCCTAGATAAAATTCTATGTACACCCTAGGCAGTTTTTTTTCTGCCCAGGGGTTGGATGGCACAACCTGAGGGCTGAGGAGCTTACCCCAAGGGCCAGGACAGGAGCAGCTCGCCCTGAGGGTCAGAAATGCTTTCCCTGAGGGCCGCATGGCTTACCCCAGGGACTGAGCAGTTCACCCTGAGGGCCAAGCAGCTCTCCCCAAGGGCCAAATAGCCACCCTGAGGGCTGGATGGCACCCCCTAGGGGCTGGAACAGCCTTATTTCTTTAGCACTTTAAAAAGTCTTGGCACCAAATTCACCATTTGATCTTTTAATGTTTTGTTGAATTTTATTTCATTACTTGTTTCTATGGGGATTAATTGTGAATCCAAGCAAATTAAATCCTTGATAGCTTCATTCTTTGTTCCACAGATCATGATGTTGCTTATTGGTCCAGTTGTGAGGAATTTTCTTTTCTTTTATTAATTTTTTTTTTTTTAAATTTTGCTATCTTTTTTTGTGTGTAGCATCATATGGGATCCGACTGGTACAGGAGGAGATTGTCCCTCCTTCTCCAGCGGAATATCTGGTAGATTCAAACAGGAATTTTCTTTTCTTTATGTTGAGGTGTAATCCATTCTGAAGACTTTGATCTTCTTTAGTAAGTAATCTTCAGCAAGCAAGGTTTGTTTCATCTGCATATCACAGATTATTGATCACTGTTCTTGCTGCCCTGATGCCACTGAGTAGAAAGACTCTGTCTAAGCCTTGAGCACCAAATTGTACAGCATAACTGTGTCAGGAAATGCCTCTACATTTTCAAAATGATAATGATTGGTTAGCCTAGGGTTTTATCAGTGAGGCCTCATAAAAGGTTTATCCTCAAATTTCAAATAGGAAAAAAAAACAGTCAAAAATTCAGTATTAAAGTCTTTATATGGATGGGAAAGGAGGAATTTTCTTTTACTGGTTTGCTGTGCCTGTATTTGATCACTTGCGATCCTAGGTAGTTTTTTATGTATTATTAATTTTTCCATCTCTTTGAGGAATGGTGATGAAATGTGGTCAGGATTGTGTTATGTCTATATATTGCTATTGATGATACAGACTTTTTCATAATATTAAGTCTTCCTATCAATGAACATGGTATATTCTCCCAGTTGTATAAATCTCTCATGTTACCGTTTTGTCATTTTCTTTGTGTAAGTCTTTTTTTTAAATCTCTGGTTAGATTTATCCTTAAATATTTCATCTTTTGGATGGTTCTCATAAATGACACTGGTTTTCTTATTTCCTTTTCAGAATTATCCTTCCCCTGGCCCCCGTGGATTAATCTAGTCCCTTTTCAGATTTCTTTTTCCCCCCTATAGATTAATCAAGCTGATTTGCCATTTTCTGCCTCTGAATAATGTCTAGTAATTTTATTGCTTAGTCTTTCGGATTTCCTACGTATTTAGTCATTTCATCTGTAAACAGATAAGTTTTACTTCTTTTTTGCCAATTTGTATGTCATAACATTTATTTTAGGGGACATAATTCAAGGCATAATAACGTAGGCTAAATTATAAGACCAACAACCAGAGCCAAAGAAGAAGAAATAGATGATTTCTACCAACTTTTACAGTCGGAGATAGATCGAACATGGAATCAAGATGCATTGATAATAATGGGTGACTGGAATGCAAAAGTTGGGAATAATGAAGAGGAATC